AGAATAGAATAGAATATAGGATAGGATAGGATAGGATAGGATAGGATAGGATAGGATAGGATAGGATAATGGATGGAATGGAATGGAATGGAATAGAATAGAAAATAGAATAGAAAATAGAATATAGAATAGAATAGGAATAGAATTATTTTTTGTTCTTTTGCAACAGGTAGTCCTCGACCCACGGTCACAATTGAGCCCAACATTCCTGCTGCTAAGCGAGACACTTGTTAAGTGAGTTTTGGGCCATTTCACAGCCTTTCTTGTCACTGTTGTCGTTAAGTGAATCACTGACCCAATTAGCAACAGGGCTGTTAAGTGACAATCTGGCCTCCCCATAGACTTTTCCCCGTCAGAAGGCTGCAAAATGTGATCAGGGGGACACTTCAACTGTCGCAAGCACATGCCAGTCGCCAAGCATTTGAATTCTGATCCCATGACCATGGGGAGCCAGCAACGGTCATAAGTGTGGGAAATGGTCTTAAGTCACTTGTCCGGTGCTGTTTGAGTCCCTTCGAATAGTCGCTAAGTGAGCCGTTGTAAGTGGAGGTCTCATTTGTTCCTTCTTCCAGACCAAGTTGAAAAATCCCACTCCCTTCCCAGAATAAACTGGGACCTGTTTTTAAAAGTTCTCGCATGCCTGATTTAAGTGGCGCCCTTTTCCCGCTAATAGTTCCGAGATCTTCTCCGGTGTTATTCACTTTCTCCTCTAATTTGGAAGCCGGAGGAAGCTCCCGCTTCCCAGCAATTACTCCCCTGGGGAATCTTAATTATTTTAGCGTGAGACGTCTCGTTAATGCCTACCCTTGGCTCGACAGCGGAGGGCAGGGGTAGGAAATGCTCGCCGAGGGAGCCTGGCGCCCCAGGGAGGGAAGGGAAAAAAACCCTTGGCATTGCAGCTTGCAGGAGAACAATCCTCTTGGCATCATGGACACATCCTCTCCGGGTTATGAATTGCCAATGGCGACGGCTTACGGAATTCCGTTGCAACGCAGACTCCGGAGCGAAAATTGTAGCTGAGGAGGAAAGCAAAGAAGCAGAGGGAAACGTTTTTGGTTTGAGCACCAAAGCTTGTATAGAGAGTCAGGGAGATGAGCTCACACCGGCCCCTCTAGGTGACTTGGGTGGCAAACAGTACAACAGGATAACAGGGTTGAGAGGGACCTTGGAGGCCATCCAGTCCAACCCGCAGCTCCCTTATACAATTTCAGACAAAGGGCTGTCCAGTCTTTTCTTTACTTTTCTTTACTTTCTTTTCTTTCCCTTCCTTTGCCATGCCTTGCTTTGCCTTGCCCAGTAGAACCGCAGTCATTGTGGTGCCCCTTCACTGGAGGCTTTCAAGAATACCAATAGCAATAGCAGTTAGACTTATATACCGCTTCATAGGGCTTTCAGCTCTCTCTAAGCGGTTTACAGAGTCAGCATATCNGAAGGAAGGGAGGGAGGAAGGAAAGAAATTGGGAGACAGGGAAAGAAGGAAGGAAGGATTTTTAGAAGAAGTTGGCATCTCTGCTTCGTTAAACCAGGATGGGGGAGAAATTGCCTGTTGCACGACGTCTTTTTCTAATCCCAGCCTGCGATTTTATCATCGTCACCTAAAGGAAGAGACTGAGAAATGGCCTCATCTGCTTCCACGCAGGGTGAAGCGGCAGCCAGAGGGAAGGAGGAGTCAGCGGGTAAAACCTCTCCCCTCTCGCGCTCTGAGCGAGGTTTTGCTGTGAGAAGGGCTGTATCTCCTGCACACAGACACACAACAGACACACCAAAAGCGGCACCCTTTGGCCACCCACTTTCAGGCTGGCAGAGGGAAACCTCGGCCGGCTGGAATGAAAAAAACAAACTCTGATTGCCCCATCAGACTCAAAGGCTCCTTCCTTCCTTCCTTCCTTCCTTCCTTCCTTCCTTCCTTCCTTCCTTTCTTTCTTTCTCTTTCTTTCTTGCTTCCTTCCTTCCTCTGTCTTCTTCTTCTCCTTCTCCTCTTTTCCTCTTCTTTCTTCTTTTTCTTTCTCCTTTCTCTTCTTTCTCATTCTCCTTCTTCTTCTCTTTCTCCTTTTTTCTCCTCCTCCTTTTTTCTTCTTCTTTCTTCTCCTTCTCTTCTCCTTCTCCTTCCTCTTTATCTCCTCCTCATTCTCTTTTTCTTTTCTCTTTCTCTTTCTCCTTTCTTTCTCCTTCTCCTTCTCTTTCTCCTTCTCTTCTCCTTTTCCTCCTTCTCTTCTTTCTCCTTCTCCTCCTCTTCCTCCTCCTTTTTTCCTCCTCTGTCTCCTTCTCCGTCTCCTCCTCCTCCTCCTTTTTTCCCTCCTCTTTCTCCTTCTCTTCTCCTTTTCACCTTGTCCACCTCTTCCAACTTTTCTTCCTCCTTTTTTCCTCCTCTTTCTCCTTCTCTTCTCCTTCTAACATCCCCTTTGGGGCAGCGCAGCAGCCTCCAAGAAGTCGGTTTCTCCCCACTGCTGTTTGGCGAGCTGCCCACATCCTCCCCCCGATAATAAATGCCTTTAAAGAAAGGCTAAGGTGGGAGATAAATTTCCATTAATTCCAGAGAGTGGCACCCTAGCAAGGGAGGCATAAAGTTATCAAAGAGAACGTCTGGGAGGGGAAACACATTTGCACGCCAAACGTGTGTGCCCTTCCGTCCTTCTTTATTTCCCCTTCTTTCTGAGCCAAATGGATCCTCCGCTCTTTGAAATCTTAAACACAAACACCTGTCAATCCTCCTGCAGCTTTGCCACCAAGCAATCTGCAAAAACTCCCCCAGGCCCCATACTTCCCCCCCCCCACAGACACAAACACCAGATTTTGCACAAAGACAGATATACATCTCCCATGCGTTACCCTTCCGATGTTCTCAGCTATATCATCATCCTAGTAAGACCACATCTGGAACTCTGCAACCAATGTTGGTCATCAGACTGCAAAAAAAAACCCATGTTGAGACCTTTTTTGGGGGGGAGGGAAGTGCAATAGCACTAGCAATAGCAGTTAGACTTATATACCGCTTCATAGGGCTTTCAGACCTCTCTAAATGGTTTACAGAGTCAGCATATCGCCCCCAACAACAATCCGGGTCCTCATTTTACCCACCTCGGAAGGATGGAAGGCTGAGTCAACCTTGAGCCGGTGAGATTAGAACCGCTGAACTGCAGATAACAGTCAGCTGAAGTGGCCTGCAGTACTGCACCCTAACCACTGCACCACCTCGTCTCTTCCAAGTGCAGAGAAGAGCAACGAGGATGTGGCCTTATAAAGGCCTTATAAAGTGGTATTAACCCTTCACATGATCTTGATTCTATCCCTCTGTTTTGATGCAGCCTAGAATTGTGTTGGCTTTTTTGGCACCTGCTGGTGACCTTCCATGGCCCTGAGATATTGGAAGACTGCTATCATGTCTCCCCTGGTCCTTCTTTTCATTCAACTAGACATATTCCCAGTTCCTGCAACCGTTCTTCATTATGTTTTAGCCTCCAGTCCCCTGATCCTCTTTGTTGCTCTTCTCTGCACCCTTTCCAGAGTCTCAATGTCTTTCTTACATTGCACCGACTAGATGCAAATATTCCAAGTGTGGCCTTCCCAAGGCCTTATAAAGTGGTATTAACCCTTCACACGATCTTTATTCTATCTATCCCTCTGTTGATGCAACCTAGAACTGTGTTGGCTTTTTTGGCAGCTGCCAAAAAGTTTCATGGCTCCTGCTTATAGGTTTTGTAGTCACACATGGCTTACCCCAACCTCTCCCCTATCAGAAGGAGGGAATCGGATATAATTTCAAACACAAATGATTAAAAGCCTGGAGACCAGATATCAGAAGAGCAACAAAGATGATTCATGGGCTGGGGACTAAAACATATGAAGAACGGTTGCAGGAACTGGGTAGGTCTAGTTTAATGAAAAGAAGGACCAGGGGAGACATGATAGCAGCCTTCCAATATCTCAGGGGTTGCCACAAAGAAGATTTGGGAGTCAAACTATTCTCCAAAGGACCTGAGGGCAGGACAAGAAGCAATGGGTGGGAACTAATCAAGGAGAGAAGCAACTTAGAACTGAGGAGGAATTTTCTGACAGTTAGAACAATTAATCAGTGGAACAGAAGTTGCCTCCAGAAGTTGTGAATGCTCCAACACTGGAAGTTTTTAAGAAGAGACTAGACAGTCACATTTGAAATAGTATAGATTTTTGTCCTTGAGCTGGACTAGAAGACCTCCAAGGTTCCTCCCAGATCTATTCTATTCTATCATCTTTCCTCCTCCTCCCCCTCCTCCTCCTCTTCCTCCTCCTCTCCTCCTCCTCTTCATCATCATCATCACCACCATCATCATCTCTCCTTGTTCTCCTTATATCTTTCTTCTTCTTCTTCTTCTCCTTCTCCTTCTCCTTCTCCTTCTCCTTCTCCTTCTCCTTCTCCTTCTCCTTCTCCTGCACAGGGTTTACTGCTTGGGTGGGGGGTTGGACTAGACGACCTACAAGGTCCCTTCCATCTCTGTTAATCTGAATCTATCTAAGATGATCAAAGGCCTGGAGGCTAAAACATTCGATGAACGGTTGCAGGAACTGGGCTTGGCTGGTCTAGTGAAGAGAAGGACCAGGGGAGACAGGAAAGCATCTTCCAATATTTGAGGGGCTGCCACAGAGATGAGGAAGGGGGTCATGCTATTCTCCAAAGCACCAGACAAGGAAGAATGGATGGAAACTGACCAAGGAGAGATTCAACCTAGAAATAAGGAGGAATTTTCTGACAGGGAGAACCGTCAACCCAGTTTCCTTCGGAAGTTGTGGGAGCTTCATCCCTAGAAGCTTTCAAGAAGAGACTGAACTGGCATCTGGTATAGGGTCTCCTGCTTGGGTGGGGGTGGGGGGGTTTGGACTAGATGACCTCTAAGGTCCCTTCCAACTCTGTTAAACCTGTATAATCCTCCCTATTTCCTTTCGCGTTTTCCATTTACCCCACTTCCCCCCCCACACACAAACACCCCTCACCTCTCCATCTTCTCTCTCCCACCCTGCAGGATATGGGCAACAGCACCGTGTACGATTACACAATCCTCCCTGACCTCTGGCAGCTGATGGACAACGTCACCGAGAACGAAACGGAGGAATCCGGCGACTGGTACGAAAACTTTGTCGAGCCCTGCCAGTTCACCTTTTGCTCCAATTTCGTCGGCACGATCCCGGTTTTCCTAGGAATCACCTGCCTCCTGGGGATTGTAGGCAACGTGGCGCTCGGCGTTGCCCTGGCCAAATGCCCTCGGTTTTGGGATCGGTGCCAGCCGGGCAAGGTGGAGCTGGCCCTGCTCGCCATCGGAGGGCTCATCTTCGCTTCCACGCTGCCGTTTTTCGCCCTGGGCATCCGCTGGAGGTGGGCCTTCGAAGACCGCGTCTGCCAAGCCATCCATGGACTCAAATTCGGCAGCCTCTTCGCCGGGGGTTTGCTGGCGGCTGGCACCGCTTGCCGAAATCCCTGGGGTCCCCCCAAGCAGCTTCTGCCCGCCCTGCTGTGGACCATGGGCTTCGTCTGCGCCATCCCGGCCGCGCTGGTGAGCAGCTCCGATGGGCTTTGCATCCCTCCTCGTCTCGCCGAGCTTCACGCCTGGTCCTTCGTCCACGCGACCTCCTGCCTGGTGATTCTGGCCCTTCTCCCCGTCATCGTGGTCTCAGCCACGGCGTGTCTCGCGGGGTGTGGGGAGAGGGGGCGGCCCCGTTGGAACATCAGCTGGGTTTTCTATCTCTTTTGGGCTCCCTACGGAGTGGCGGTGTTTGTGGAGATGTTTCAGAAGGAAATATTCTTCTCCCAAAGTTGCCGCTTCCTGGATCATCTCAACTCCTTCCTGCGCCTGTCGGAAGGATGGGGAATGCTTCACTGTTACCTGAGCCCCTTCTTCATTTTGGGGTTGGGCTTTTACCGCCGAAAGACAGCCTAAATCAGTGGGGGCAAATCCTTTTTGTCGTCCCGCGTTTCACAGCACCCATAATGCAATGCATGCCTGACCCACACACCTATTCAAACTGCCCCCCCCCTGCCCCAGTGGTGGCTTTCAAAAATGTTTAGAACCTCTTCTGTAGGTGTGGCCTGCTTTGTGGGAGTGGCTTGCCAGCCATGTGACTGGGTGGGAGTGGCTTGATGGCCATGTGACTGGGAGGGAGTGACTCTTGCCAGCCACGTGACTGAGTGGGAGTGGCTTGCCAGCCATGTGACTGGGTGGGAGTGACTCTTGCCAGCCATGTGACTGGGTGGGAGTGACTCTTGCCAGCCACGTGACTGAGTGGGAGTGGCTTGCCAGCCATGTGACTGGGTGGGAGTGGCTTGATGGCCATGTGACTGGGAGGGAGTGACTCTTGCCAGCCATGTGACTGGGTGGGAGTGGCTTGCCAGCCATGTGACTGGGTGGGAGTGACTCTTGCCAGCCACGTGACTGAGTGGGAGTGGCTTGCAAGCCATGTGACTGGGTGGGCGTGGCCAACTTGTAAAATGTGGTGAGACTCACTTAACAATGCTCCTGCTTAGTAACCAAAATGTTGGCTCAGGAACTCTGGCATTGAAGTGTCTTTTTTTTTAGCAGATTGTTTTATTATTTTTCCCCTTCTACAACACCTTACAGTCATTATATCGACATTGTTATGTCATCCTACCTGTACATGTATATAATATTTCGCTTCTATGTTTACACACCTTTATACACAGTTCTATATATATATATATTTATGTATATTGGTTTTTTTTGGCTTCATTAATTTTATTCTTGTTTTGCAGCCATTTGTACCAATTGTTCCAAATTTCATAATATTCCGACTCTTCTTTATCTTTTAATTTCAGTGTTAATTTGTCCATCTCTGCACAATCCAAAGTTTTTTGTTTTTTTTAATCACTAATGCTGGAAACAAAATAATACCCCCTCGGACGAATTAGTGATAAAAAAAAACCTTTGGATTGTGCAGAGATGGACAAATTAACACTGAAATTAAAAGATAAAGAAGAGTCGGAATATTATGAAATTTGGAACAATTGGTACAAATGGCTGCAAAACAAGAATAAAATTAATTAAGCCAAAAAACCATATATATATATAAATATATATAGAACTGTGTATAAAGGTGTGTAAATATAGCGCTTCTATATTTACACACCTTTATACACAGTTCTATATA